GGAAAACCCTGAGATTGCCCTTTTTTTTATTTGTGCCAGATGGTGTCATTTTTTGCCTCTTGTTTTTAGACTGCTTTTTACATTTCTAGTTAGTTAATGCTTCTTGATTGATGTGTTTCTTTTACCAAGTTCCTTTCCTGTTTTAATTACATTGCAAATTTCCATATTTACTGTTCTCCCTGGACATTTGCATTAGCTATTTTATAAGCTTCTTCTTGTTTTATCCCTTCTCCACTCCAGTGATCTCACCTTAGCACTGTGTAGACCTGGAGTCTCAAGCTGATACTCAAAAGGGCCAACATTTCATAAAAATGAATGAAACAACTTGACTGTAGAGCAGTTGAGATGTTCCTATACCTGTCAAAGTTTCCATCTTTTTAAAACTCTCTGGTATGGCTGGAGAAATGGCTCAGTGGTTAAGAGCCCTTGTTCTCCCAAGAACCCCAGGTTTGATTTTTGGCTTGAAAACACCTGTAACTCTAGTTCCAGGGAATTCGGCCCCCTCCTCTGAACTCCTCAGATACTGAGTACACACAGCTGCATATACATACATGCAGGCAAAGCACTCAAAAAGTAAACTGAAAGTAAATACAGTATAATAAAATGCAAAACCTCTAGTTGGCCTAGGCATAGTGCCATAAACCTTTAATCCCAACTTGGAAGGTAGAGGCCGGCAGATCTCTGTGAGTTCAAGGACATTTAGAACTACATAATGAAACCCTGCCTCAGAAGGGAGGGAGGAAGGGACGGACGGACGGACGGACGGACGGAGGGAGGGAAGAATGGAGGGAGTGAGGAGAAATGAAAGAAAATATTATGCTCTTAAGTCAAAGACAGAGCCCAGCTCTCTAACAGGGCCTGTTAACTTAAACTTCTGCCCTAAAATATCTTTGTGCCACCAGCCTCTTCCCAGGACTCCCTATAGCTTCATGGGAAAGGCTGTGCTATGCAGCCTGAAATTCAGAATTCTTGGTGGTCTGGCCCATCTGCTTTTCTGCATCATCTCCTTCCTACCTGCTGTCCTGTGTTTCCGGCTGCAACCAGACTGTCCCCTCGCCGCATCCAGACATGCTTTGCACTTCCTGACCTCTGCTTCTTGCTGTCTGTGCTAAGTCTGTGTTGCTTTGCAGTGATGAGCCTTCTTCTTCCCAAGCCTCAACATCTAGATCACGCTCTTCAGTATGTAACATTGCTATTCCCTTGGAACTACCTCTCTGAACTTCTGATGATGGCGGGGTGGGGCAGCATTCCTCCTAAGGCCTTGTCCACTGTGATCTTCCCCAGTTACCCATAGGACACAGGCATACTTTCCTCTGTACCAAACTACCAGGCCCTGAAAGATAAGGCTCCTGTTGGCAACGTCTCTGTATCTGTGTCTAGCCTCTAACTCTATGCTGGGTGTATTCATTTTCTCTCCAGCATGCTTCTTAGGCACCTCCTACTTGATAGAGACCAGGGGACAGCAGTAAACAGAAATCACGTCCCTGTCTTCATGAAGCTCTAGATGGAGAGATTATTGTAGCCAAATTCACATAAGAATAAACAGTGTAGTTTCAAGTATTAGTAAAGGGGCCAGCAAGATGCTCAGCTGGTAAAGGCATCTGCCGCCAACCCTAATCACTCAATCTAGCCAACCCACATAGTGGGAAAGGAGAACTTATTTGTTCATTTGTTTATTTTTAGGTGTGTGTGTATGTTGACGTGTGTGTGTCTGTGTGAGAGAGAAAGAGAGAGAGAGAGAGAGAGAGAGAGAGAGAGAGAGAGAGAGAGAGAGAGAGAGAGAGAGAGAGTGTAAATAATATAAAACGCAATGTTAAAATCTGTGAAATCCTCCCAGCAGAGTGGGGGGCTGTAGATACTGAAATTGGCAGCTCTTCAAACAGTCTTCTGGAGACGCGAAAGGAGGATGCTGCCCAGCACGCGCACATTCCCTTCCCCATCTTGTGCTTACTAAATCATCTGTTCTGCAAGCAGGGGCGAGTTACGAGAGCAAGTGCGTGCAGCACCACCTGATCTAGGTGTTTAGATGCATCAGAAAGTTCCTGGTTTTGCCTTTAACAATATGCTTTTCCGTCTTAAGCGCTTAGAAATTCAGCCTGGTGTGCGTCCCCCGCGATCTGTTTTCCCACTCGGCACATCCTGTCGCAGTGTTCCCAGATGTAGTCTTGGGAGGCCTGAGGAAGCCACGGGATCTTCTGTGAAATGACTTTCCTACATCAACTGTCACCACCAGGTTCAGCAATGACCTGTTCTGTCAATTAGCTGTGACAGTAGCAGTGACGTTGATCTGCTGCTCCCATGACAAGAACAGGCATCAGTTTAAGCATCTCTTGACGGGGGAATGTAAAAGAATTTCAGGTAGAAGGTATAAACAACTTCTGGGAAGCCAGAGCCTTGTAAATCTTATTTGAAATGCAGAATTAATGTCCCAGCGATACACTTGACAGTGATGCGGCTCCTGGGCTCACCCTTCTCACTGTCCCTGTGTGTGTGTGTGTGTGTGTGTGTGTGTGTGTGTGTGTGTGTGTCAGAAGTGATGTTAGGTGTCTTCTATCCCTGTATCAGATGTGGGCTTTATTTTCCTTGAAACAGTCTCTCACTGGAACCTGGAACATGCTGTTTTTCAGCTAAACCGGCAGCTGGCAAGCCCCAGCTGTCCACCTGTCTCCACTCCCCACCCCATACCCAGTGTTGGGGTTACAGGTGCATGGACACACCCAGCAGTTGGTTTGGGTGCTGGGGATCTGGACTTAGGCCTTCATGCTTGCTCAGCATGGTTTAACACTTCTTTTGGTTTGGTTTGTTGTCGTTTTTTGAGACAGCATTTCTCTGTGTATCTAGCGGTGACCTCAAATAAATTCAGAGATCTGCCTGCCTCTGCTGGGATTAAAGGTGTGTGCCATCATTGCCCATCTTAGGGCTGCTCTTAATAGGATTTTTTTTTTCTAAGTTAAAACTGTACCTTAAGGGTTGGCTAATGGCTCAGCAGGTAAAGGTGCTTGCTGCCAAGCCCGAGGATCCTGAGTTCAATCTCTGGAGCCCACACAGTGGAGGGAAAAGACTAACTCCTGCAGGATACACACACATGCTCGCGCTCTCTCTCTCTCTCTCTCTCTCTCTCTGTCTCTGTCTCTCTCTCTCTCTCTCTCTCTCTCTCTCGCCTGGCATGCAGTAGGGTANGTCTCTCTCTCTCTCTCTCTCTCTCTCTCTCGCCTGGCATGCAGTAGGGTATTATTTAAGTCCAGGAGTTTAAGACCAGCTCCGGAAAATAGCAAGACTCTCCGTGAAAACAAAAACAAAGCCTTCCTATGGTTGGTAAATTTACCACTGACAAACGCAGAACAGAGAAATGTTTAATGGAAAAGATAACGAAGGTTCCATGAGGCTTGTTGCTTTTAGTTTCATATTTTTCTAGAGATAGGAAGATTGCCAGTTGTACATCTTTCATTAAAACTAGTTTCTATTTTCTGTCCCCTTTTTTTTAAGGTTTTTGACATGCATTTACTTATTTTGTACACATATGATACATGGGTGTTAGTGCAGACATGCCGCAGGGTGTGTCAGAGTTGGAGCACACCATCTGAACGTCAGTTCTCTCCTTCTGGGGTGGGATCCGGGAATCAGACCCAAGTGCTCTTTCTGCTTAGCAGCCTCGCTGGCTCCAGTCCTTGCTCTTTAATAACTTAACACTGTGTGTTTGTCTCACGCTCTAAGAAAGGCACTTGTCAAATCATTTTCCATTGTTTTGTGAAGGAATTCTTTTCTAAAGCAAAATTTTAAAAAAAATCTATTCCTACACGTTTATAAAAAATGATATTTATTTCTGTATTGAGAAGGGCATGCTTGTGCCCCAGATGTGTAGAGGTCAGAGGACAGCTTGAGGAAGTCAATTCTCTATTTCCACTATATGAGCTCCAGGGACCAAACTCAGGGACATCTTCAGGCTCGGTGGCAAGCACTCTTACCCACTGAGCCATCTTGCCAGCCCTGTACTTAGCATTTTAATGTCACTGAAGTCCTTTAGTTTTCTCAGAATCAGGCTATCTGAGATATGTATTTTCTATAAAAAGAACAAATTGCCAACTTATTGATTTTTTTTAAGATAATGGTTTCTATAGACCCACGTTCAGAGAACCCCGGTAGAAGACTGTCTAGAGTCATTTGCCCCTAAGAGCTCTGAATTATAAAAAGAACTAATGGAATCCATAATTGTCCGAGATTGCTGCCTGGAACTGGAAATCATATTAAGAGCTTTATACCATTGATCGGATAAATGGCATTACAGGCCATCCTAGCTTACAGCACTGATGTCCACAGTGTCGAGCCTGTAGTGCCCACCCAGATCATCACCTATAGCAGGCACCTCCTACCAGTCGGCTAGAATGTGCAAAAGTGAGCAACTACTTCCCCTCCTCCTCGTCAACTGACCTTCCTTGCCCCCTGACCCCGGCAACCTTTGTACCTTGAAAGCTTTGACTCCTAAATGTCAAGCAGGTGCTTCTGGTATGAAATGGGAGGTAGGTAGGAAGGAGAGCGGTGGCCTGCGTGAAAACCAGAAGGCTGCATAACATGGGTAGTGTGGGTTGGAGGTGCCTGACGCAGAGTTTTCCGGTCTGTCACAGCTTCCCATTCTGCCTTAAAGCCCCCCAAAGATGTGCAGAATTGGACAATTAAATTTGCAAAAACAGGCCGTGAAGGTAAGCTAGGTGTGATAGCATTCAGGAGCTTCAAGAAGATCTCAAATTCAGGGCCAGCCCGGGCTATAGCAAGTTCCAAGCAGTCCTGAGCTATAGAATGAAGGAGAGGGAGGGAGGGAGGGAGGGAGGGAGGGAGGGAGGGAGAGAGAGAGAGAGAGAGAGAGAGAGAGAGAGAGAGAACCTATTGTTAAGTGTAGAGATGGAGTATATATCACTGCAATGATGTTCTGTGGTTGCATGTGTAATGTATTGCCCCGAAGTCCCACCCGCTTTAACGTAACTGGTTCTTGTGATGCCCGACAGGCTGTTCCTGCAGAAGGGCTGGTGTCCATACTAAAGAAGAGGAATGACACAGTAGGAGACCATTCCACCCAAATGCAACAGAAGCCAGCCAAGCGGAGAGTGCGGTTCCAGGAAATCGATGATAACCTGGATCAAGGTGCGCACCGCCCCGGGTCTGTGAGTGCTGGACAGTCGTGTGACATGTTTGCCAGCAGGGCTTGTAAGGACTGTGTGGACTTGCTCCATCTTCTAGCAGAGAAACAAAAAGAAATCAAGTTAGATCTTAAAGTTTTGAAACATTTTTTGCTGAAATAAGTGAGCGAGTTGCAAAATTGACCTTGTGGTCTCTCCAGTCCAGAAATGGTCAAAGTTAAGAACTCACCTCAGGTTTTTTTCTTTAGTATTTTCCTCTTTTCTTTTTTTTCTTCTCTAGTGAACTTGGTTTTTATTTTGTTTTTAAGGACAAGTAAATGTCCCTCTTTTATTGTGAGGCACTCTCCTCTGAATGGAAGCTGAGTGCCTTCCAAGTCCGTCTGCTCCTCATGGTTGTGGCTGAGCCTCTCAGCCCCTGGCCAGCACCGAGGTCATGCTGTCACAGCCTTGTGTGGCTGCAGAAAGAGTGACCTGAGGCAGGAGTGAGCAAGGGAAGTGGAAACCAGCTCAGAGTCTGTCAGTGTGCTTTGCTATGCCCTGAGTAACGGTGTGAACACCGAGCTGTGTTTCTAAAATAGCGGGAGAGCTGCCTGGGATTTTCAACTGTGAAACTGAAAGGCCTTGGAAATGCTTCCTTTTTATCCAGGCATCTTGTTGTAACCAGGACAGCCTCCACGCCCCATCCCCATCCCATGGTGCACCTGGGTCTGGGACTCTCAGGCCACCTTACCCTTTACCACGTTCTCAACATTATCCTCCTTAAAATACAAAATAATAATCACTACTCTGCCACTAAGGCCAATGAAAAACATGTAGATAGTGTATGAATTGATCTCAACAGTCATGAGACCTTCATGTGAAGCTTACACATGTATAGTTGCAAATCTCTGCTCCTGCCTGGAGCTCCCTAAAGAGGCCCATCCTTCCATTAGTCAGCACTGTGTCCTATAAATACAACGTGGATGCTCATAGGTGATTTTTTCTAATGTGCATGAGTGTTTTGCCTCATGTGTGTCGGTGCATCCCATGTGTGCAGTGCCTGAGAAGGCTAGAGGAGGGCATCAGATCCCCTGGAACTGGAGCTACAGAGGGCTGTGAACCATCTCCTGGTGCCTGGGACTCAAAGCTGGGTCTTCTGGAAGAACAGTCAGTGCTCTCAAACACCGAGTCATCGCTCCAGTCCTCATAGTGATTTTAAATTTATGACAGCCACACAAGAAGCTTGGAAATATACAAAATGTGCTTCAACGGTATATCTCATTTAACTCAGTGTCAGAGATATTGCAGCCTGTGCTCTGTCGGTGTGAGAAATGCTGGTCAGCGTTTCACACCCTCCGTCCCACATTCTGTCCTCCAGGACTGGAATCTACTCCGTACACACGTTGCGTCTTTTCTGTACCAGTCTCTTGTCGGGTACTCAGCAGCAGCTCATGGCTCGTTCCCATCCCAGCTCATAAAGTATTTCATTTAAACAAAATAGATATCATCTCCTCATGTACCACAGGCTCCATAATAATAAAATCTGCAGGTGCTCAAGACCCTTATATAAGGCGGCGTATTGTTTTCATAGGATCTGTTCATACCGCCTGTGTGCTTTGATGATGATGATGATGGTGATGATGATGGTGATGATGATGGTGGTGGTGATGATGGTGATGATGATGATGGTGATGATGATGATGATGGTGATTGTTCATTTCACACCTGTGCCACGACTTCTGGGAGCTCGATCTCTTCTCCCACCCTTAATTCCATGGATTGAACTCAGGCTACCAGGCTTGCAAGCCAAGTGCTTTTGCCCGCTAAGCCGTCTCACTAATCCTTCCTGCATACATTGTTTATTCTTTTTGTTTGCTTTTTGTCTTTTTTGAGGTAGGGTTTCTCTGTGCAGCCCTGGCTGTCTTGGAACTCACTCCTAGACCAGGCTGGCCTCAAACTCACAGAGATCTGCCTGCCTCTGCCTCCCGAGGATTAAAGCCTGAGCTGACCTCTGACCCTGCTCTCTTGTTTCAGATGAGGTCGGCAGTGGCTCCTGCATCCTGCTCATCTTGCTGTGCATAGCCACAGTCTTCCTCAGCGTGGGAGGGACCGCGCTCTACTGCACCCTGGGCAACATGGAGTCACCGGTCTGTACAGACTTTGCCGACAACATGGACTTCTATTACACTAAGCTGCTGCAGGGGGTGGCAGGACTTAAACACTGGGTCTACCTCTCCTAGCAGCAAGTGGGACGGACAGGCGTGCTGACAGACGGACAGAGAAGCAAACTTCCCAAACAGCTTTTATTTCAGGAACCATGAAACATTCCCCCTCCCCTGCAGCGAGGACTCAAGGACAGACTTTAGAGAACCAGCCCAGAGAACTCTCTTAGAATGGTCCACAGAAGAAGGCAAATACGGTGCGGGCACTGAGGACAGTGGAGGGAGCTGTGGAGCGCACGCCCCTCTCCTTGCTGCGCCCTTGTGTGGTGAAGTGCGCTGAGCAGGGTCACTCCACGCTGAGCAGGATCACCCCGCTCTGAGCAGGGTCACTCCACGCTGAGCAGGTTCACCCCACTCTGAGCAGAGTCACTCCGCGCTGAGCAGGGTTCCTCCGGTCACGCCGAGCTCGCACTGAGGGCTAAAGACCACTCCCAGTTTACAGTCATTGCTTCCTGCCACCATGCAATAAGTTTCTTTGTAATCAGAGAGTTTCCTTATGGTTTCAATGCCGTGTTTTAGTTAATCCTGGGAGCTGTGTAATGTAAGCTTTGGGCGTTACTCTAGATCCTTCTCTCCATTTGTGAAAGGGTTGTGTGGGTGTGTGTTTGTCTGAAGCAGTTGCCGCAAGTGGATATCCAGCAGAGTACAAAGATGACCTTTATTCTTTTAACTTGACTACAATGTGCAGGCACACATCTTTGGAGAAGGCTTACCTGTGAACTAGATAAACTGTAGGACTGTTGGCCTTGAATTAGAAACTGGTAGATCTGTGGCAATGAATTTGACAGGCCTGAAGGCACCGTGACAGAAATCCCAAGTCTCAGGTGAGATTTCGCTGTGGGTTCTATGCTGCCGGAAGCAATGAGTCCTGGTTCCACAGCTCAAAAGAGACTTCCTGAGCATCTATTACATTTTGGAACCTAAAACTAGGAATCCAAGTAAGGGGTAGTTCCTACTGTGTGGGTGGTCATGGGAGGCAAACCCTTACTTTGATGAGTGAAACAGGCCACCACGTGTGACTGAGTGGTTTCAGGCCATACGCTTGGGTATGTGGAATGTGCGTGTCTATCATGGACTCGTTTTGGACCCCATCATGTGGTCATGAAGCGGAAATTCAATCATACCTTCAAAAGACAACTTTAAATGTCTAGTTTTGTTTAAATCTGTCATTAGGTGGCCTTTCCTTATTTACGGTACAGTGATCAAATGTTTAGGAAGCCTTGCTTTGACTTTTGTATATTCTAGGCAACATCTTTTTTTTAAAAAAAAAAAAACATGAATTATAGTTTTTTAGCAAGTGATCTTTATGTTCTGTTTTCCTGTTAGAATCATTTGGAGGAAAAGAGAGACATTGCTTTGTAGTTATTACTGGCTGGCACAGTACCTTCCTTTGTGTTTCCGCTTATTTATTTGGAACTTGTGAATTTAAGGGCTTTTGTATGAACTGAGCGCGTGTGTGTTGTTGAGCATGTATGTGGTCATCCCACTGCTACCTATTTAATTAGATACTGAGTGTTTTGATTTTCTATTATTTTAGCTCCGTGTGTTTTAGGCTTATTTTTAAATTGACATTTTATTTTCACTTATAATGCCGTGTGGCTTCTTTCTTCCAATGTCACCGTAAACTGTAATATTTTCAATGGTTATAGATCAGAGTTATTTATTTAGAAGTATACAGAATACTGAAATTTAGATTCCTTTATACCGAAGGCTGATTTTATTAGAAGATTATTTTAATGTCCTATTATAAATTTTAAGACTTTGTATTCACATCATGTGTAAACCAGGTCCCATTGTCCCAGTACTGCCATTGCGGTTCTGGCGAAGCCGTGAGGGAGGTGGTCTGTGCGGGCCTCGTCACGATGCACAAACATGTTTCACCCTCATGATTTCTGGTTGCGGGGATTTGGTGATTCTTGTTTCTGCCAGTTTTATGTCAAGAGAAGTTAAAATCTCTCCCCATGCACCTCTTTCAGGTCACTCAGAGTCCTGTGTGATCTCTGGTGTTACACTGGCTCTCGGCCACCATGGTCACTTCTAAAACCCTAGGTTTCCTGGGAGCCGTCATTGAGAGGCCTGACATGACACCTCGATAGCCAGGGGCCCAATTGTCTGTCAGAGGAGCCCGGGTGCTCACCACTTCAGGGACCACAGAGTGATCGCAAGTAGGCTGACCTCTTGACTTAAAGTGGGCATGAAATGTCACGTAGAAGAACTAGGGCACCTTTTAAAGCGTAACAGTCATTTGCTGCATGAATTGGAATCGCCCACCTGGAGATGAGAGGATGTTAACCCTCGTATAGAGAATGCTTCCGTTGGACTGAAATGTCATTTCTCCTCTCCTTGGAAAGTACTGACAACTACCTATAACTAGCCTTCTTAAGAACCGTGTTTGAGGGTGTGAAAACAAGTGTGTAATTTAAAATCTATACCAACAAAAATGTCTCAGAGAATTTATTTGAACACTTGGTGTAAAGGAACTGCTTGAAAACAAAATATGAAGGAGATGCCATCTATTTGGGGGAAGTCTTTGCAACACACAACACCTGTCTGTGCTCTATGCGCTACCATACAGTTCGCGAGCAAGGGGCTGGAGATTGAAACATACAGAGACACACAGACAGAGACACGGACCTCTAGTCACTGGTAAGAAGCTCTTTATTCAATAGCACCATGGAGGCTTATATACACAACACAGTCAGGTGGGCCAACAGGTGAAAACCTTATCCTCTGATCCTCAAGGCAAGGCAACACGTGCTCGTGAAGCAGAGCTGGTAAACAACTTTGACACAGCTTTCGGTAACTCAAATCAGAAGGAAAGTAAAGATCTCTAGCAGGGAAGAGCAGCTGGAGGCCAGGACTCCAAATGGTCCCAACAGGTCTTTATTTTAAAATTGCATTTATATATTCATTTTGGGGGGAGGTCACATGCATGCACACTGTACCTGTAAGCGAGTCGCTCTCCCCTTCCATCAGTAAGGTCCAGAGAGTCATACTCAGGATTCACTGGACAGCCAGCACCTTCCCCACGGAGCCGTCTCATTGGCCCTCTTCAGAAGATGTCTCAGTAATTCCCTCAGTAACGGCTTCTCAGCTTCTAAAATATCTCTTGCATCTGCCTGACATGGTAAGCCAAACTCGGCTCTCAGGTGCCTCCTTTTAGACATGAACATCAAGTCTAAAGTCTTACTTTATTGTGAGATGTGGCATGGATCTGAAGTCTGAAGATCAGGCTTGTTTCGCAAGGGCAGATGTGATTTGGGTCTTCTGAATGACGGGACAACATGGCCTGAGAGGAACAGGGTTAAAGGACCAGGAGGAGCCAAGCAGAGGGAACACGGAGGACAAAGAAGTCCTTTGACTGCTGACCTGTTGTGTGGCGTGTGGTCCCTGTACACAGGCAGCTTTTTACTTTATTAGCATATGCTAATTACCCGTAATGGGTTTCATTATGACATCTGCATACACATAGGTAGTGCATTTTGAGCATCTTCACTTCCTGGTATATTCCTGTTCCCCCACTGGTCCCCCTTCAATGAGCTGGCCCTTCATCCTGCTGCTAGCAGTAACCCTGTGTAACCCTCTCATTTCTGTGGGCACAGATGATCTGCACTTGGTCTCAGGCAGAACTTGATGTGGTATTTGTAGTATTTTAACATCTGTCCATTCCAGACCTAGACTAGCACACTTATGGCTCTCAGTCACAGGTCTCATGATGCCCAAATCCACCACTCGTTTGGTTCCTATCACGTGACCTGTACTTTCAGAGACAGGAAGAGTGGTTCTGGGACCTATGGACTCTACATTGACCCTCTAGTAACTACTTAGTAAGCGGGACAGAGCTTTGTGCCTGGTGCGCAGACCTGTGCAGAACTTTGCACCGTGGCACTGGCTGCCCTCTGTACCCTGGACACACATCCGATTGCCTGCAGTGTAAGCACTGTGGGCATGACCCCACCCAGCTTAAAGAGCTTGTGTCTGGTAAGGGAATGTAATTTGCAAAGAAAAACTAGATAACGGGCTACCGAGGGGCGTGGGAACCTGAGTTCATCCCCCCCCCCCCCCCCGTCATGTGTCATGAACTGTTAGGAATAAGGGAAATACACAACTAATACGAAAATCAACATCAGTCTCTCCTGCCAGCCCTCTCTGCTTCGCACCTGCCGTGAGCACTCCGAGAGTTCATGGCAGGCACGCTTCCAGCAGTGCAAATCAGCTCAGCAAAAACTTCCTGTTCAGACCTGAAGCTCTGGAGCTGGGTGTAGCTCAGAAGTAGAGTGCTTGTCTCTTGAGCACAAAACCCTAGGCTTAATACTCAGTGCCACGAAAGAAAAAAGAAGTCTTAATGGCTTTGAATGAAAAACCATCTCACCAAGGAAACCAGTACAGAGGATGCGCCCAGTCAATCTGTCAATTATTTAAGAAAGAATTGCCCATCCCACAAAACGCTCGTTTACAAAGCCAGTGCTGCTGGTCCTCTATGAGACCAGTATCACTCTGGTAGCAAAACAAGATAAAGTGCGGGAAACAAAGGACACTAGTGAGCGGAGACACCAAAGTCTCTTCTAGAAAACAGCTGATAAGAGGGCACGGGAGGCAGGGAGAACTCAGCTGATAAGGCGCTTGCTTGGCAAGTGCAAGGACCTCAGTTTTCTCTCCAAATCCCACAAAAATGTGCTCTTTTAATCCCAGCTCTAGGGGAGTGGAGATGGGAGAATCTCTAGGTCTCTAGCCAGGCAGCCTGATTGGTGATTTCCAGACCAATCAGAGACTGTCTCATAGACAGTAGACTGTGTTTCCGAGGGAGACAACCAAGACTGGGTTAACATGGTAAGACCCTATCTCAAATGTCCAAGCCAGCTGAGTATATATAGCTCAATATAGAGTGTTTGCCACTCATAAGGTCAAGAGTTCAAGCCCCAGGACTACTATAGATGTGACAGATAAAAATTCAAGGGCCGGGTGGTGGTGGCATATGCCTTTAATCCCAGCACTCGGGAGGCAGAGGCAGGCGGATCTCTGTGTGTTCGAGGCCAGCCTGGTCTACAAGAGCTAGTTCCAGAATAGGCTCCAAAGCTACAGAGAAACCCTGTCTCAAAAAAAATAATAATAATAAAATAAAAATTCAATCAAAATTGCAGCAGTTTTTAGAAATTGACAGTTTAAAATGTGTGCGATGCAAATGACCTAGAAGCTAGTGGAATTGTCAGAGCAGAGCTGGAGGCCCCTTGCTCCTGTTCTCAAGGCTGCATCCTGTAGTTACCAAAGTGTGTCCGAGGAGACCAACACAGGGAGCCACGTCTGCATGTTCCAGTGAGCCACAAGGGAGCCAGGCCAACTCAGTCAGGAAAGAGGAACCCGTTCAGCAAATAATGCTGGCAGAATTGCGTGTGCAATCGGGAAAAGCTAGCAGAAACAACTAAAATCTGAAGAGACTTGGTTTTAAGTCTAAAGCCTAAAACTATAGGGTAACTAGAAGAAACCAGGGCCACCCATGTCACTTTTCCTTAAAAAGAATTCCTTAAAGTCCAGAGTGTGCAAACTATACGAGGAAAACTCATAATCGGGCTTTTTAAAACGTGCTTTTGATGTAATGTGGTTAGGAAAGTTAGAGGCAAGTTCTCAAATGGAAGAAGATATTCACAATATTTCTTAAGTTTTGTGGGCTGCGCAGTGGGTGCCTGCTGGGGTGGAGGCCAGAGGGCAGTTTCTGAGCATCAGCCCTTTCCTGCCACCGTGTGATACCTGGGGAGCAAGCTCGGGTCAGCAGGCTTGGCAACAAGAGCCTCACGATGAATTTGTCAGAGACCTTGTAAGTTTAGAGTATGTAAAGAGGCTCATATGATTCAGAATTATGACAGCTTTGAAGTGGCTTCAAAAGAGAGAATGCGTGGATGCCAATGAGTCCCTGGAAAGATGCCAAGTGTCATTAGTCACCAAGAAATTGCAAACGAATGAGCCACCTCTACACACTTAGGATGGCCAAACTTTGCATGGACAGACAATACAAGGTTAGTTAGTTCAACATAAGGAAATCAGTGTATCAGCAGTAGAACAAAGAGGGGGAAATGATGGTCACTCTATGGGTGTAGAGAAGCATTAAACGTCCTTTGGTGACTAGAACTCAGGTTAAATGAAGATTAGGAAAAGAGTAGGAGGCTCTGTGAAGGGTTATGAGAATACGTGAGGCAAGGACAAATCTGTCCTTCAGATGACTTACTCTGTTTCAACACTGTGGCTTAATTAGAAAAGCCAAAAACTTTGGTGACTTCCAGGTACCTCAAATGTGCAAGACTTAGCTACCCAGTAGCTAACAGGAGGTTTTGATAAACTCATTAGTTCCAAATGCCTCACCCCGGTCCTAACTGTGTTTAATGTTTGCAGATCGCTCTAGTTCCTCCTTGAATGCTGAGCTGCTGACTTAAGACAACTCTGGAGCACAGTTGTCTTCTCAGCTCGCAGGAGGATGAGGCAGGAGGATGACAAGGTTACAGCTTGGGTTACAATAGAGACCCTGGAGATTTCTTTTAAGTTTTTTTTTTAAATTCTACATGATGCAGCATTTCACATTCCAAACCCAATCTAATAATAGTCTGGAAGGAGAACACAGTGTCCCTCTGGATGGAAGGTATTGATCAAAAGTGAGGTTTCATAATTTCATTGCTTAATTGATTTGGATCAAAGGTCAGGAAGGAGATATGCACTTAAGGAGCAGAAGGAGCTTACATCATCCCCTCACCCTCAAAGTGATGGAGCCCTAAGTGGCTGACTCCCACTTTCCAAGAGCATGACCTGGGGTTGACAATCTATAAACCAAGCGAGAAAAACACCCTGCGCTTCCGAGACTAGAATGGGTCCACAAGGGGCTCTGAATGAAGGTAATCTTTTTCCTTTTTTGCAAAAGGGTTTCTCCGCATATCTCAGGAGGTGAGAGGTAGGAGCTGAGACCTGGTGCACAGATTTTTCAGTCATCTGCCATGCCCACGGGCCATTCCAAGAGCCTGCAACAAATGGTTCCTTCTCGGGAAAGCGCGGAGCTTTGCGGAGCCTAATCCTGCCATCCTAGTTACTGTTGCTTAGATTGGAGGGCGCCTTAGGGTGATGCCGGCTTTGACACTCACATGCTAGGACTGGTGACCTGGGTGAGCACAGGTTTAGAAGGGTGCTTGGCAGAGGGAACCCGAGAAGCAGGTCCTCTCTGACCACGGGAGCCCAACACAGACTCTGTGTCTAGCTCTGGCAATGGAAGGCACTCGCAGTGGCAGGAAAGAGCACGGAGCCAAATGACCAGGGACAGCAGAGTTACCAGGGTAGACATCCTGAAGGTCATGCCTCAAAGGTCACCTAGACGGTAAAGGTGCTGGCGGCACAAGCCTGGTAACCTGAGTTCAGTCCTGAAATGAGAGAGGACAGAACTGGATCCACATAG